TGTTATTTGCCATTAATCATTTGAATTTAATTTTATCTGATTCTTCTTTCGTTACCAGGATCCAGAAGCATTTCCCTCTCCCTACCCCCTCCTCCTCCCTTGATACAGGTTGCCAGATCCAAAATGAGAAGGCCCAGCTCCCCTCATCGCCTGAAGTCAAAAATACTGCTGTGACGGGCCGATTCGAGTTCCTGCTTCAGCTGTCATAAACCTATGGACTTTAACAAACATGACTTGCTTTTTGACAACATTATTTAATCACACATTCTCTGTCATTGGCTTCTTGAATCAAGCGCTTTGGGTTCCTGCTCGCTACATTTGCCCCTGGAAAGATGACGTGGCACCAAGGCCTCCAAAATCCCATTCCCATGTTCACCCTCCAGTCAATTCTATGTGTTGTTTCAAATCTCACAAATAACTTCAACAAAATATTTATGCATGTTGTTTTTTAAAGACTTAGCTTAACATAATAAGCAAAACACTGTACCTGCTTGATAAAACTTTTATAATCCAATTTGTTTACTCTACACAACTATTGATGGCTTATATAATAATCTGCTACTGCTACATTTGATATATATCCCATTGTTATAAGCTTCTTGCTAGCCTCACGCTCTGCTGACCTTTCCCCCCTGCCTCAAAATGATATCCTGATATATGTCCTGGCTTCCTGTCGGCTAGATCAAAAAAAACAGTTCAAATTGTTTTACTGTTGACTGGCTGTTTGATCATATGCTGCTGCTACATTCAATACATCCCATCCCTGTGACATCTTTACCAGCCACGGCCCCTACAAGCCCCTCCTAGACATGATGTCCTTTATACATACAAATTGTTAAAAAAAAAACAAAAAAAGGGGGAGATGAAGGAGTGATGACATTATTATGTCCCATTGAAGTGACAATGCGCCTCTGGGCTTTTACTGGCAAGCCATTCTAGTCTGGACGCGCATGAGAAATTCCAGACCCCTGACACTTATGCTCCACACCATTCTGGCTAAGTATACAGGGCATCATGACTTGGGACTGGAGGCAGGCCGCCCTCCCCAGATGCATACACTGTTCCTAACCAACTGACCATGTATGGACACTACCCTTGAAGACAGGAAGGATGACATCACCTGTTGCTGACCTTACCTGCAGATTACCTCACCCTTGAGAGTCCAACCAATCACTTGACAATTATGTAATCCCCCACTGTTGCTATGCAGACTTTGCTAAAGAGCACAAAAACCTATATAAGCTTTGCTTAGGGAACAATAAAGAGGTCATCATCATTCACTTCTACGCCCTGCTTCCCGCCTGGTCATTATCGCGTTTCTACACCACCTTGCAGCAAAAGCATAATCAACTCAGTCCTTTAAAATACATATAGGATTATATTACCTCTGAATCAATCGCTGGGTAAGTTCGCCCCACCAGAGAGGCTGCTTTGATGTCAACCTGATGATCTTCAGAAATGCAGAGATATGCGTCATCACCACCACCCTGCAAATAATGCCAAAAGATTATCAAATTGCACTCCTCTGTGTCTGTATAAGCTCTTATTACACAGACAAAGCAAATGAAGTTCAGAAAGTCCGTGTCAAACCTGAACAGGATTACCTCATCCAAGGTGAAGTTTCCATTTAATAATCTCAATGCTATCATAGACATTATACCCAATCATAATACCCAAATAGTATGTGGGCATAAACTCAAGCAAAGTGGAAAACATCATTTACAGGAATAAGCTCTGAATTTCTGTACTAACTCCATCCCAGCTATTAATACAAATAAAATGTGAATTATGCCATTTTTCATTCTAAATATACCTTCATTCATGTAAGCAGTCTCAGAACAAAATTTCACATAATGCAGTTGAAGGCTCAAATTTCCACACTATTTGCATATGGAAAATGACCCAGTTTCCTTACTCTGGTTACCATATTTAAAATGTATTGGTAAATTCTTCCTTATGGCCTAAAATAAGGTTGAAATCAAGCAATCCTTCAGATGTCATCAGACTGCAACACTCAGCATTCCTCACCAGTTGGTTATACAGTCCAGGGAAGGTAACAGTTTAAATTCCAGGACATTTGGAAAACTTCAGGAATCCCACTACTGGCCAAGAAATCATGCCATTTTCTGCTGTCTAGGAAGAGTATTTGGCTGCAATAAGAATGTTACTAACCATCCACTGATCATGAGACAATGCAAATGCAATATAGCCTTCACTAGGACCACTCATTTCCACCAACACCGAGGCATCATCTTGTTTGAAGGACAGAAAGAAGCAATCATTGGCTTTAGGATCACAATTGGAAGGACTTCTCACACAGAACTTTCTGATTCCACAGTCTGAAGCATTAAACTAAGGAGAGAAGATACCAGAATATATTACTTCACCAGTTACAGCTTAAGAAAGTGATTGTTTTCAGAATGGCAGTGGGGACACTTTGCAGGATTTAACAGAAAGTACATTTCACACAACCGCAAACTCCTACCTAGCAATTACTTTCATTTCTTTCTGGCCATTATTGAGATTCAAGCCTCAAATCCACAATCCTGTCTCAACTAGGTACTTGACAGCATAGTGTTACTAGTCTATAATTTTGGATACAAACAACAGTCCCACTCTTGTCTTAGTCAGACACTTAATGGTTGATTGTTCAAAACTCTGCTTTAACGGGAGTATAATTAAAGGCTTTCTAAATCATCCCAAACAGTTCCAGATAATTACACAAACTCCATACAGCTAAAAGCGGGTGAAAAAAAATCTCCAGAGGCCTCCTTTTGCTTTAAGGTGAACACAATGTTCTATACACAATTCTAGATATAAGAAACAATAAGTGTTATAAAATGGTTCCTCAACCTCCCTGTATTTGAGGATGCAATGATACCTATCTTAGTTTTAGAAGTACATTACAGGAAAGGCATAGAGAAATTTAAAGGAATCCTAGATTGAATCTTGTAATTCTTAACCTAAAAGGTGAACAGAAAGATATTAAAATCAGAAGACTGACTCCGAATATTTGAAGAAAATAATTAAATATTGTGTTTTGGTATTATCCTTACTGTTTTTTAAAATGATTTCAGGCACACATGTCTACATTTTTTAGCATTTAACAGAAAAGACAAGCACTAAAAATATAACAAAGGATTACCCCAGGCAGGAAGCAGCCAGGCTTTGAAGCTGCAAGGCCATTCAATGCTAATCAAGGTGGCCAACTGCAACATTCACACAGACAAGAGTTCTTTCAGTTGGAAACCAGAGGGAAGAATAATACAAGTTTTTTTATTTTGAACTAATATGGTATGCATGTGACCAAATATGGTATGTTCTGTTTCACTGCAGGCTAAGTGCATTGCTGTCATCAAAAAAACACAGAACTTACTTTAAGTCTAACTTGGCACTATACTTATTACAGATTTGCAAGACTGATCTCATTATGCACCAAGGCCCAAGTAGGTATCTGAAGGATACTTAAAAGGCTCCATGGTTGTCATGGTGGATTTTCAGCTAATCCATGAAGACCACACAGCACACACTAGCAGCCCCTGAAGGCCAAGTATATTTCTGAGCCAGGACTTTAATATGACATCCAAGTTTCCAATGACATTTAGTATGGGGGGGGGGGGGGGTAAAGAGGGCCGCATGACATAGGCCACGTGTCTTCTGTGCTTGAAATCTTTATTTGAATGTCCTGAGATCAGATCCTTTCTCCCTGATTGAGCATGGAGGAGATGATGGAACCAGTAACAGGAGAAAAATACTGTCGTGCTTTAAGCTACACCTGAAATCAAAGAATTCAGAAAAATAGCACTCAGAACCAGCAGCCATCACTATTGTCTTTTTCCATCTTTCCTTGCCATTGCTTTGATCTCATTTTCACCAGCAGCATAACGCCACTGGCAGTGGAATAGAAACAGTGGTTTCCAACCTTGGTCTTCTAAATGTTTTGGACTTCAGTTCCCAGAATTCCTGACTGTTAGCCCACCTGGAAGAGCAAAAGTTGGGAACCACTGGTATAAAAGGCACATGGAAATTATGCAGTCCTTCAAGGGTTTTTGGATTGCAACTCCCAGCAGTCCTAACAAGAATAGCCAGGGATGACAAATTATGGGAATTGCAGACCAACAATACCTGCAGAGTCGCACAATTCCCATTGCTATATATGATCTTGACATTAGATTAAAACCCAATACATTTGTTATAAATTCCAAGTTACTTACAGACTGGGTTAAATGAGGAACAGGAAGTGATGTTGGAATGGTCACAGTTGTTGTCAAGAATGGTGTATCAGGCTGGGAAATCACAGGGCCAGGAATTTTTACCCAAAAGATGTGGAACTTTTCTACAACTGTGGCTCTGAAGACAGGATGAAACACGTGCATTTATAAATTGATTGAGCAGTCCCAAGCTCTCTCTGCAGTCCAACGTATATGCTTTAAATATCTTCAAATATTACTTACTTATGAGGTAGAAATATCAGACATGATGATTGTCCTGTATGCAAGTATGTCATAAATCATCTGATACGGGGGAACTACCAATTTTTTACTCAGCTATGAGAGACTATATTTGTGTCATTGGCTATAGTTGTTTCTTTCTTTCCTGGAAACATCTATGCATCACCCCCATTACTCCTTTAAGTCTCATACATATAGGCTCAGTACTTGCTCAAGGCATAAGAAAACAGTTCAAAATTCATGTTACCCCAATACATCTTAACAACAGTGCAGAAAGTTTTATATATAATTTAAAGGAGGTCACCTGAAGAAATTCCAACCAGGCAAATAAGACAGCAGATAATATTTACAAATGAGCACATGCCTACTCACAGAAATTGTATTCTTTTGGGTGCATCTCTTGGAGAAATCCAGTAGACATCTAGATGGGTTTTCTTGGATTTACTTGTATGGCTCACAGCTGACTTCTACAATATACAAAAAGTCTGTATCAGCTTTAAAGAGAATAACTGCATAAAGTAATCCCACTGATCATTTTTCATCACCATCTGATACAAACTACATTAATATTTAGCTTACATAACAGCCTTTTGAACATCACACCATATGATTAGTAAATGAACAGGATAGAACAAATCTGTCTCAAATAATATGCTGTGTCCATTTGAAAACATAGAAATGCTGGATCACTAACAACCACCATGTCGGACTGCATAGAGAAGCCATTGAAATCCACAAGTATGTGGACAATTCCAACAGAAAGGAGGAAACCAAGAAAATGAACAAAATCTGGCTACACGTATTTAAAAACTCTAAAATCATGACAGTAAATAAAGGGCAACACTTTAAAAACCGGTGAGTTCCAGACAGGAATCAGTCAGGGCCAGCAAACACCTCCCAACAAAGGATTCCTCCAGGCAGGAAGCAACCAGGCTTTGAAGCTGCAAGACCATTCAACGCTAATCAAGGTGGACAATTGTAACATTCATACTTGCATCCAGCAGATAAGAGTTCTTTCTCACACCCTGGACATTCTGCAGATCTATAAACCTCACTTGTCTAGTTTCCAACAGACCTCACAGCATCTGAAAATGCCTGCCATAGATGTGGGCGAAATGTCAAGAGAGAATGCTTCTGGAACATGGCCGTACAGAAAACTCAAAGCAACCCAGTGATTCTGGTCATGAAAGCCTTCGACAACACAGTCATGAATGCTCTTTACCAGCAGGGGGAGGACTACTATTTAAATACTTCTCGTATATTACTTCACTGGGTTTAACATAATGGCATTTCTTCGCAAGTTGAAGTATATATTATGTGAGGGTGTGTGAGTGTGTGTGTGTGTGTGTGTATACATACATACATACATACATACATACATCCAATTTAGCTAAGTAAGTAAGAAAGAAAGAAAGAAATGAAAAGAAAAAAAGAAAAAAATCCATATGCATTGGTTCTTTTCTGGTGTCACCTTTTGTTTACAACCTATTAATACCAATATCATCCCCTACTTGTATCCATCCCCTTCCACTGTTTTCCCCCTACTTGTACGATCCAAATAAAATTTATAATACTACTAATAATAATAATAATAATAATAATAATAATAATAATAAACGTACACAATACATTTAAAAATTGCACACATGTACTGTAGTTTTTGCAACACTTAATAGAATGTTTAAAGTGTGTGTGTGTGTGTGTGTGTGTGTGTGTGTGTGTGTGTGTGTGTGTGTGTTTTTATGCTCTGTTCATTTTTAGTGACATCATAACTCAAAATCCGCTGGACGAATTGCTGCCAAATTTGGCCACAAGACACCTACTAATCTAAAGAGTGACCATCATTAAAAAAAATGATTTTGTCATTTGCAAGTTATAGTTTCTGGGATTTATCGTTAACTTACAATCAAAGAGCATTCTGAATGCCACCAATGATGGAATAGACCCAAAGTTGGCACACAGGACTCCCATGATCAACAGAAAACACTGGAAGGATTTGGTGGGCAGCGACCTTGAGTTTTGGAGTTGCAGATCACATACATTCAAAGATTGCTGTGGACTCAAACAATGAAGGATCGAGACCAGATTTGGTGTGAATACTCCATATGCCCAAATATGAACACAGATGGAGTTTGGGGAAAACAGACCTTGACATTTGGGAGTTGTAGTTACCGGGATTTATAGTTCACCTGCAATCAAAGAGCATTCTGAACCCCACCAACAATAGAATTGGGCCAAACTTCCCACACAGAAAATACTGTGTTTTCTGGTGGTCTTTTGCGACCCTTCTGACATCCCCACGTAACCCTCCTCCTGGGGTTCTGAGCCCCAAGTTGAAAAATGCTGCGTTAAGACCATCCAGTCCAACTCCCTTCACCAGGGCAGAAAAACATTATCAAAGCCCTCCTGACAACCAGCCATAGATCGAGGTAGATATATATGATTCACACACACGCTTATATGTATATGACAGATACAGTATCATAGATTAGAAAGGGACCCCTAAAGAAGGACAAGTATGCGTTGCATGTTCCAGAGTAGGTAAACCAGACAATCTCTACATCAACAAAGACAAAACAAGAAATGCTGTTTACCCACAAGCATAAAGAAATTACATATATTAGAAACTGACACTTTCTCATTACTTTATTTTCCAGATCACCAGACTGGGCCACAGCAACACGTGACATGGGCAGCTAGTCATTAATATGATCCATGCCCTCCTTCCACACTCTGCTATTGTGCCTTCTACATACCTCGCCATTCAGGTTTGAGCTGAGAAATGGTGAAGCTTTCTTACTATCATTAAGTTCCCTTACCTTTACATGTCCACAGGTGAGTAACTGAGATCTTTTTTTGTCAGCCAATACAAAAGAGCCAATGGCAGGACCTCCCAGGTTCCCAGCATTGCGGGCTTGTAGCAAAAAACCTTCAAATGGAGACCCAAATAAACTCACTAGAACCAAGAGAGAGTGAAAAAGAGGTTGGAGATTAATTCCCCCCAATAATTTTGCCAAAATTAACACGTTTCTAACCAAGTACAGGATTTAGAACTCCATTCTCAGAGAGACTAAATTGGTACCCCTTCTTACTAACCTTTCTGCAAGCAGATAAACAACGTTTTATTTTGCCAAGCTTTTAGGAATTGTTGTTATTGGTTAATTTTTAGTGAAAGCTGGCTCTGGATAATGGGATAACTAATTTTAATTTTATAATGGCTTTATTAAAAAAACTTTTGTGCTGTGATTTTTTAAAACTATGATTAATTATTGTAAATTGCTTCTGAGGAAAAGGCAGGATATAAATAAATATAACAACAACAACACTATAACTGTGTAAATGTATTTACATTGGGTCATGTACACAGCTAAGAAGCCAGAACTAGCTATTCTACAATTTGTCTGTGAACAGGGTTGTATGGTCAAGATTATCCCCAAACTCTGGTATTTTCAAAACCTGAGATTTAAAGATGAACCTTCTGGGAATTACCTAAGCCAGGTATATAAGCAAGCAACACTCATGTCCCATTACTGACAGAAAAGAGGAAAAAAGATGGCACCTTTCACATGATCGCCTGGTTTAAACTGTGTCACATTCACTTCAATTGTGTGTTTAGGAATTTTTTGAGATGAGTGTCCATGGAGTGGTATCATACTATTGCAGGATTCTTCAACTTTTCCATTTGGGTAACCAGCTGATGGGCTAAAAAAGCAAAATAACATCCAGGCCATCAAAACCATTCCGGGAGATTTCATCTGCCAAAAAAAAAAAAGTATTAGACTTAATAAGTGTGTTTGTATTACTGGGTACAAAAAGACAAGCTAATGTTAGGTAGAACTCCCACCTACATGTAAACGTAAGAGGTGAGGAGACCTGCACTGAAATATTGCGTTGTTTTTACTGATAAACCCATAGCAAGTACAGAGGTTAGTATAATCTAATAGGAGTAAGCCAAAAACCAAAATCTAGTTCTACTACAGTTTGTTTATAGTTGTTTTATAAATTTAAAGGCATCAGGAAAAGAGCAAAACTCAATTACAAGTGGATAGGCATATTTAAGGAAGTCACATCACAGGAGACCCTTCCAGATAGGCCCTATATCCCAGGATATGATCCCAGGTTTTCTGTTTTATACTGGATAATATGAATCCACATCTGGGATAAACAGAAAACCTGGGACCAGATCCTGGGTTATGGGGCCTATCTGAAAGTGCCCAGGGTTTGCAAAACCTTAGCAAGGTTGTTAATGGGATGTTGTGTGATTTCCGGGCTGTGTGGCAGCATTTTCTCCTGATGTTTTGCCTCCATCTGTGGTTGGCATCTTCATGCTAAACATGAGAAGAAAATGCTATTAGAACATGGCCATACAGCCTGGGAACCACACAAAACCCCAGTGATTCCAGCCGTGAAAGTCTTCGACAATACAAGGGTGATAATAACTAGCTGTCTTTGAAATCTCTCATTTAGAGGAATACCATAAGCCAGGGTTGATTTGATGGCAATTAACAATAACAATGTTCATTTAATCATGACTGCATTTTCTTTCATTCAGTAATTTAATTGTCCTAACTTTCCATTACTATTTTTGGCCCCAATATCTTGGTGCAGTAGGCCCTAGTTCATGGGTGTGAATCACGTAGCCATCTAAGTGCTACTGGGCTGCAGGCCACAGCAACATTAGCCAGTGCAGCCAATGGTAAAGAATGCTAGGACCTACAGTCCAACCACATCTGGAGGAAGCATGACTCCCATTCCTATCCTTGACAAAGAAAATTCTGCTCCATGCCTGTTTGCATATAATAAGACAATCCATTTTTAAGTTAATCACTGAGAAACGATGTCAACACAACAACTGTATACTAGATCTAATGAGAATTTATAACAGTTACATTATTTTACTCACTAAATAATACTTTACTTTTTCAAAGCACTGATAGAATAATAGAAAATAGAGTTGGAAGAGACCACATGGGCCATCCAGTCCAACCCCCTACCATGCATGAAAGGCATAATCAAAGCACCCCTGACAGATGGCCATCCAGCCTCTGTTTAAAAGCTTCCAAGGAAGGAGCTTCCACCACATAGGTTTTTAACATACTTTTACTTATCCTGGCAACAAATGTCTTCATTATCAAAGACATTTTGGTTACAATGTTGCTTCAGACTGGAACAGATAACTGTGCTATAGTGTACCATATTATATATTATTTATACTGTAGCATACTTAGCATGGCAAAAATGTCTTCATTACCAAATACATTTTGGTTACAGATTGGAACAGATAACTGTGCTATAGTGTCTCATATTTTGTATTTATATTGCCATGTGCTGATTCACATAAGTTACAACCACCCACAATTTAAATACAATTGCCATGACCTCTCATTATCAGTAGCTATGGCAAGCAGCTTGCTGGTTAAACAAGCTAGACATCTATAAACCATTCTGTGTTAGCCCCTCTCACACTGCTGTCACAAGGGTACATACAAAATGTCAAGACATACCAAATCCAATACGAATGTATCATTGGAAGAACACTTAAAACATCCCTGTGTGTATATGTGCCTTTAAATCACCTATTGATTTAGTGCAACATCATGAATGTCGTAGATTTAATTTAGCAAATACTACTCAGAAGTAGTTTTGCCACTTCCTTCCCCTATAATAAAGCCTAAAGCAGCTGGTATTCATTGGTAGTCTCTTATCCAAACATTAACTAGGGCTGATACTATTTAACTTCCAAGATCAGCCAGGATCTGCTTTGAGAGTAGCATCCATATAAATGAAATTGACACATTATTGGAAAGAAAGAAAAAAGCTTAAATAGTGTAAAAAAATACATAATATTGTTAGGATCAGAGAACAATATAAAGTTAAGGATGAAGATTTCAATAGGAAAGAACTCAAAGTTAGCTGTGAAATCAGGGGAAAGTAGAAGTTTGACCAAGAAATACAAGCACAGGCTGCTTTTCAGAGTATCATATGAACTTCATTCTACCAGACTTTCATGATTCATTCACATGGTATATAAAACTGAGCAAGATTTACATTCATTTAGGAAAATAAAATATTGCAGCCTACTTCTATTCACAATCTACTGAGAGCAAGTCAGCCGCTGCACACCTAAAGTATACCAGATACACTCCTAAGCTTGGTCTCATAACTCTACTTATCAAGAACCATATAGTAAGACAAACCTGGGGAAGTGGATTCTTCATCAAGTCTAAGGAATTCAAGGGAACAGTAGAATGTAAAGAAATGATCCAGAAAGGGGCTCAGACAGCTGAAACCATGCCTTTCTTAACTCTGAAGATTAAGTGTTCTTCCACTTGCAGGTGTTCCTCCCAAATAGACATATGGAGACTTTTGATAAGAGAAAAGCTCTGTTTCATAAGCATATTGATAGAGAAGTCTGATTAGAAGGGTTTTTGGTGTGGCAGTGGCATCACTAGAGGAAAGACTAGAACCATCAAGAGAAAGGAAGGCATTCAGCTTTCTGAGGGCCCTTCCTTGTGTATGTGTGAAGAAGCCTGACACAAGAGTTCTCTCCTGCACTTCCTTCCATTTTTCCACCCTTCTTTCTTTCCTCCTCCTCCAGAGTTGGGCAACATCTTCCATCATGACCAGTTACATGGCCATTGGTCAATGCCCATGGGGATTATGAGGGCATTTGCCCAAGATCTCTGGAAGGCCTTGGGCAAATGCCCTCGTAATATTTTCTTCATATTTTATTTTTATTTTTCTTGTGTTCCTGAAGTTTTAGTATACATTCTTGAGTTTTTCTATTGGATTTTAAACATTAATTCAATTAACAAGGGAGGGAGGATAACGCTTTGGTTTAATACATTGCATGTTCATTTGACAGACAGTTATTTGAATGGTTATTTGAAGTCCCCGGTGGCACAGCGGATTAAACCCTTGTGCCGGCAGGACTGAAGACCAACAGGTCGCAGGTTCGAATCCGGGGAGAGGCGAATGAGCTCCCTTCTATCAGCTCCAGCTCCTCATGCAGGGACATGAGAGAAGCCTCCCACAAGGATGATAAAAACATCAAATCATCCAAAAAAAATTGAATGGTTTTTATATGGTATAGGAACTCATGTTATTATGATCACTTTATTTATGTATTAATTGTATTTATATACCACCTTTCTCACCCCTGGGGGGACTCAACGCGGTTTACAACATAATAATGGCAAAAATTCAATACCAACATACAATAACAAAAAAAAAATCATAACTAATTACTACATGTAACTATGAACTTAAAATCAATTAAAACCATTAAACATAAAACATGCATAACATGTAAACATTCAGACAAGCATAAAATCATCCTAGTATAAACATTAAAATGCCATGATCCAGAAATTGTATACCATAGCCATTCCAAATTGTTATTGCACATGATCCTTATTTATTATTTTCACAGTATTATTTATTAGCCAAAGGAACAGCCCAAGACGATGGAACGGATGAGGATTTGAATGAGAGGACATAGTTTTTTGTTTGTTTTTTAAACTGTTATTATTCACTGTTTTTATGTTTAAATGCACTATAATGTTTCTTTTGTTTATTAATGTATGTATTTTTATGGCATCGAATTGTGCCAGCTGTGTATACTGTCCTGAGTCGCCTTCGGGCTGATATGGGTGGGATAGAAATAATGCAAATAAATAAATAAATTAAGAATTGATCCAACAACCACATCTTTATTATCTTTCTAAAGGCCAGGAGGGAGGGCACTGATCTAATCTCACTGGGGTGAGTTCCAGCGCTGAGGAGACACCATTGAGAAGGCCCTGTCTCTCGTCCCCTCCAACCACACTTGCGACGGAGGTGGGACTGAGAGCAGGGCCTCCCCAGATGATCTTAACCTCAATTGCCATTTCAGCATTACCTTGTAGTTAGAACGCTGTCAATGATAACATCTTTTTGAAGCAATTAATTTTTTTCTACACTAACATCTCTTATTAATCATAATTTTGAAAGGAATCAAGTTGAGAGAGAAAAATCCTCCCTGTGCACAGAAAGTAAGAACAACTTGACTGAACTGAACACCACACACTGGCATTTTATTTTAAGGCATAATACATTAAGACAAAGAATGCTGTCATTTATTTGCTATAGAGAAACACAAACTAACAGCCAATTGCTAATTCTGCATGTGGACTTTATAAGCTGGGCTCCATAAAAAGAGGTTGAGTCAGTCAAATGAGTTTTCGCCTGATAAAGCTAGCTGAGACTGACAAGACACTGTTGAAAGAGACCAACATTTCTAGAGCAAAAGGCTGACTACACAAACAAGAACGTATTTGTACAGAGCAAATCTGTGCCCACCAAATGATATGTTTGTTTGTATTCAGATTCACTGTTCATGGTCATTGTTTAATTAGACAAAAAACATCATTTACTTTAGGACTCAGGAACTAGGAAATGTGTATTTATTAATAAATGCACCATCTTCTGCTTATTCCCTCCTCTTATTCATATATCTCTATCTTCTTCCAAAAAGCTGGTATCAATGGGTTTAGTTCAATTATTAACAACAAATATAGAAGGTCCACTGAATTAACCAAAATGGTCAAGTCCTGTCTCTATCGTAGTTGGAGAATAAATTGGATTTCGCTTTAAGTTTAGGCAAGGACTGAAAAACAGTCAAAACCTTTGGAAAAGACACAGTCATGCCCAAGACAAATGGTTTTCATCTTGCAAATTGTTATTGGATATTGGAAGTTTCATGGAGCCCAGGACTAGTAAAACAAATTTTAGAAATAATTATGAATTTGTATTGTTGACGGCTGTGAGTTGCTGTGAGTTTTCCAGTCTGTATGGCCATGTTCCAGAAGCATTCTCTCCTGACATTTCACCCATATTTATGGAAGACAACATCTGAGACCTCACAACCTCTGAGGATGCTTGCCATAGATGTGGGTGAAACATCAGGAGAGAATGCTTCTGGAACATGGCCATACAGCCCAGAAAACTCACAGCAACCCAATTATGAATTTTCCCAATTCATTATTGGACTACAGATTTGACTGTGTATTTTGAGGCAGGGAACAAAGTTATTTTGCCTAATCAATAAAGTGTATTGCTAGCACTGTGTCAGCAGCTGTTTGGTGGCTCTCCTACAAGAAAAAATTCAGCAGCTTGAACAGCTATTTTAAAATTCAGTCTAAAACCACAGAATAGATTTACTAGCATGAAGTCCACCAGACACCATTGGTGATTTGGAACATCATTGCTCTTTCTCTCATGTTCCAATTCTTATCATTAGAAAAATATTGAGCGGTTAAAAATACTTGAGTAATTAAGATTCAGTTGCTTATCTACAAAATAAGTTCTTCTTCATCATTCTTTAAATGTTGAGTTAGTCAAGCATTCAGATTTTCCAGCCATTTTGTGACAGGTTGGACCAGATCATCTATTTCAGCTATTTCCACAGGTTATAATCATGCAGAGATCTCCAGCCTCACATCTTATTTCATTCAAGAACAAAGAGGAATCTGGGGCCCCTACCACACAGCTGAATAAAATCCCACATTATCTGCTTTGAACTGGGATATATGGCAGTGTGGACTCAGATAACCTAGTTCAAAGCAGATATTGTGGATTATCTGCCTTGATATTCTGGGTTATATGGTTGTGTTTCAGATTTCTCTCCCACATGTTGATTTGGGAGGGGATTATGGAGTACAACATTCAAAACATCTGGAAGTTCAAAGCTTTCCTCCCGCTGCCGTCAATACAGCATAAAGTAATTTGTTTATCCCAGGTCAACAATCTGCAAGCTTGCTGATACTTAGGCTCCATCTGCATTATCTTAAAATACCATTTGAAACCGCATTATATAGCCAGTGTAGACTCATAGTGCAGTTCAACAGAATTATATGGCAGTGCAGATGAAGCTGTAGGCTGCTTCCGTGCTGCTATATAATCCAGATTATCACAGCAGATAATCCATGTTATTTGCTTTGAACTGGATTATATGAGTCCACACTGCCATATAATCCAGTTCAAAGCAGATAATTCAGATGTTATATGGCAGTGTAGAAGAGGCCTTAGAGATTCCCTCTCATCACACTAGAGAGAAAAAAATCCCCTTGAAATCTGGTTGCTGCCTCCTGCAGAATTCTGGGGCTTGTAGTTTAGGGAGGAGCCTTTAACATCCTCACTAAACTACAAACCCCAGAATTCTGCAAGAGGCAGAAACTGGATTTCAAGTGGATTTTTTCTTTAGTGTTATGAAGTAACGACGTAATGATTCAAGCATACTGGGGGGGGGGGGGGACACTTAAAAGGTTAACTTGACTATGTCCCTAGAAGTAATAAATTCAACTGTTTCTAATTGATAAATTTCAGGCTGATCCAAAGAATACAACGGATATATAAGAACTTTATTAAGCAGATGCTCTTGCAGGAGGTCACAACAAAATGAATCAGAGTGCCCTGTTGGAAACTCAAGGGAGGAAAATGAGTAGTCACAAAGAAAAAGATAAATAGGGAGCAGAAAGGGAACAAAGAACACAAATCTCTAACTTAAGGCTTTAATTCAGTGTCTGCGACTCTGACTCCTAGAACTCTGGTCTGCTTGTCCAATCATTACAAATTTTGGGAACTGAAGTCCAAAACACCTGGAGGACCAAAGGTCATGCACAATTGATAAGAATTGGAGTTGGCAAAAGATAGAATGGGGTCTACTGATAGATTCATCGAATATCTGGAATGTATCAGCAAAGATTTCTTTAAAAATGTACCTGTTCCTACTTATATACAAATTCAACTTACAAACAAACCTGCAGAACCAATCTTAGAATCATAGTGTTGGAAGAGACCTCATGGGCCATCCAGTCCAACCTCATGCCGAGAAGCAGGAAAATTTCATTCAAAGCACCCCTGACAGATGGCCATCCTGCCTCTGCTTAAAAGCTTCCAAAGAAGGAGCCTCCACCACATTCCAGGGCAGAGAGTTCCACTGCTGAACAGCTCTCACAGTCAGGAAGTTCTTCCTAGTGTTCAGATGGAATCTCCTTTCTTGTAGTTTGAAACTTGTTTGTAACTTGGGAACTACCTGTATTTTCAAGGTGTGGATGGTTGAATCCATGGGGACAAAATCTATGGATCGATAGGGCACGTCTACATTGTAGAATGAAAGCAGTTTGACATCACTTGAACTGCCCTGTCCGAATGCTATGGAGATCATGTAAGCTGTAGTTTGGTGAGGCACCAGCACTTTTGGGCTAAAGACATTGTAAAACTACAACTCCCACAATCCCACTGCATTGAGCCAAGGTAGTTCAAGGATCCTTCCACACAGTCATATAACCCAAAATATCAGAGTCATACAACCCAAAATATCAAGGCAGATAACCCCACAATATCTGCTGTTAAAGGCTCCTCCCTAAACTACAAACCCCAGAATTCTGCAGGAGGGCAAAAACGGATTTTAAGTGGATTTTTTTCTCTAGTGTGATGAGAGGGAATCTCGAAGGCCCCTTCTACACTGCCATGTAACATCCAGATTATCTGCTTTGAACTGGATTATATGGCAGTGTGGACTCATATAATCTAGTTCAAAGCAAATAATGTGGATTATCTGCTCTGATAACCTGGGATATATATGGCAGTATAGAAGCAGCCTACGGCTTCATCTGCACTGCCATATAATTCTGTTGAACTGGGGCCCTTTCCACACAGCTGAATAAAATCTCACATTATCTGCTTTGAACTGTATATTGTAATACAATATAATAATTATATATTTTATATTGCATGTAGTATTACTAATAATATTACAATATAATGGTATAGTACAATATAGTAATATATATTTCTGATATTATACTATGCTAATAATATAATATATTGTATGTGTATATATCTTGTAACCCGCTCTGAGTCCCCTTCAGGGTATTTATTTATTTATCGTATCAGGAACAGACCAAACAGTTGCATTGCATTTTTTAACAAACAAACAAACAAACCACAAAATTTGCAAGATTGGCAGTTGATTAAATGTCCTTTGACCAGTATCTGGCCACTTGGAGTGCCTCTGGTGTTGCCGCAAGGAGGTCCTCCATTATGCATGTGGCAGGGCTCAGGTTGCATTGCAGCAGGTGGTCAGTGGTTTGCTCTTCTCCACACTCGCATGTCATGGATTCCACTTTGTAGCCCCATTTCTTGATGGCTCTGCATCTCGTGGTGCCAGAGCGCAGTCTGTTCAGCGCCTTCCAAGTCGCCCAGTTTTCTGTGTGCCGGGGGGGGGGGGGGTCTCTCATTTGGTATCAGCCATTGATTGAGGTTCTGGGTTTGAGCCTGCCACTTTTGGACTCTCGCTTGCTGAGGCGTTCTCACCCTTCGGGGTGAGAAGGGCGGCATATAAATGTTGTAAATAAATAAACTGGGATATATGGCATTGTGGACTCAGATAACCCAGTTCAAAGCAGATATTGTGGGACTTTCTGCCTTGATATTCTGGGTTATATAGCTGTGTGGAAGGGCCCTTAGTCCACACTGCCATATATTCCAGTTCAAAGCAGAAAATGTGAGATTTCATTCAGCTGTGTGGAAGGGATACAAGTGGTGTCAAACTGCATTCAGTCTGTGCCTATATTGGAGCAACTCTGCTTTGTTTAAAAAAAGCACATCAACCTAAGGAAAGCCGCCCAGAACCGCATTGTGTCTCTTCTTTGTTAGCATTTTTTCAAAAAACTAAGACACAACCTCTGAAGGCGGAAACACACAACATACACGTGTTTCTTACCTTGTCAACCCGCAGCCCGTGGTGCATAAAGGTAGTTTTGCTTTTGCACCAACCTGTAAAGCGCAGGCGGCTCTGCACAAGGTAGGAGGGACTACCACTCCCAACATGCAGACTCCTCCGAAGGAAGGTGTGCGAGCTGTCAGTGCTCTTCTTCCCTTCACACTGAGCCTTCAGTCAGCCCCGCTCTTCCTGGTTCCCTGATAAACTCTCTTCGTGGGTGGAGCCCAGCCTGAACCTCACCAGGGAGCAAACACGCCCTGAAATAACCATTGCTGCAAGGGGGAGCAACTTCTATGGACGAGGGAGTCTGGGGATCTATTGAGAAAACGACACCACTTTTAAAAACCATGGAAACCTCATCACACTAGAAAGAAAGAAAAATCCACTTAAAACACGGTTTCTGCCTCCTGCAGAATTCTGGGGTTTGTCGTTTGGAGAGGATGTTAAAGGCTTCTCCCTAAACTACAGAATTCTGCAGGAGGCAGAAATCAGATTTTAAGTGATTTTTTTTCTCTAGTGTGATGAGGCCCCAGGTGTATTCATTTCCTTGGAGGCAAGGAAAACTGCTCAACTGGTTGCTCTCTGCAGCATATTGAATGACACTTAAGGTGCATCTACACTGCAGAATAAATGCAGCCTGGTATCACTGTAATTGCCATAGATGCTGTAGAAATGTGGCGGTTGTATTATTATTATTATTATTATTATTATTATTATTATTATTATTATTATTATTATTGGACCGTGCTCTTACCTACAAGAAGCACTGTCTGAACATCAAGCAAAAAGTGGGTGCTTGAAACAATATCATACAAAAGCTGACTGGCACAACCTGGGGATCACAACCAGATATAGTGAAGACATCTGCCCTTGCGCTGTGCTACTCTGCTGCTGAGTATGCATGCCCAGTGTGGAACACATCTCACCACGCTAAAACAGTGGATGTGGCTCTTAATGAGACATGCTGCATTATCACGGGGTCTCTGCGCCCTACACCACTGGAGAAATTACACCGGTGGTTCTCAACCTGGGGTCCCCAGATGTTTTTGGCCTACAACTCCCAGAAATCCCCAGCCAATTTACCAGCTGTTAGGATTTCTGGGAGTTGAAGGCCAAAAACATCTGGGGACCCCAGGTTGAGAACCACTGAATTACACTGTTTAGCTGGTATTGCACCACCTGACATCCGCTGGGAAGTAGCAGCCAATAGTGAAAGAACCAAGGCAGAGACATCTCCAGCTCATCCCTTGTTTGGGTATCAGCCAGCACGTCAACGACTTAAATAAAGTAATAGTTTTCTAAGATCTACAGAGACACTTGCTGGAACACCTCAGCAAGCGAGAGTCCAAAAGGGCAGGCTCAAACCCAGAACCTCAATCAATGGCTGATACCAAATGAGAGACACCCCCCCCCCCCCCCCCCCCCCGGGCACACAGAAAACTGGGCGACTTGGAAGGCACTGAACAGACTGCGCTCTGGCACCACGAGATGAAGAGCTAATCTTAAGAAATGGGGCTACAAAGTGGAATCCACGACATGCGAGTGTTGAGAAGAGTGACCACCTGCTGCAATGCAACCTGAGCCCCGCCACATGCACAATGGAGGACCTTCTTGCAGCAACCCCAGAGGCACTCCAATTGGCTAGATACTGGTCAAAGGACATTTAATTAACCAAGCTTGCAAACTCTGTTTTGTCTGTTTGTTAAAAATTTGTTTAAAATGTAATACAATTCTCTGGTTGCTACTGACATGATAAATAAATTATTATTATTATTATTATTATTATTATTATTATTATTATTACTATTATTAAGCTTTCAAAAGAATTCAACTTAAAACCCCACAGTGAAAATGAAATAAAGTAAAATAAACACTAAAATACATCCTCCCTTCCCCCTCCCATTGCCCACTCTTTAAAATACAAATTAAATTTTAAAAAATTAAAACATTTGAAACACAGTTGTATTGTCAAAGGCTTTCACGGCCAGAATCACTGAGATATGCATGACTTGTATTTTATGTGTTTAACACTAATACGTGCTGTTTTGCCATTCACCCCAAGTCCCTTTGGGAGATGGTGGTAGAATATAAACAATGTTCTTCTTCTTATTATTATTATTATTATTTTACTGACACAAAAACACAGTATGTCACAGCAAATGAGATCTATATGCTGGATTTCATATCACAAAATCACAAGTCGAACACTTCCCAAGCGTCTAGGACTGTATGATGTATTTTTGAATGATGTGCGCAGATCCAAGTAAGGTGGCCTTTTGCAGTTGACAGATCGTGATTTTGTCAAATGCTGGCTGAGATCTTTTGGCACGGCACCCAGTGTGCCAATGACCACTGGAACCACCTGTAGTGGTTTATGCCAGAGCCTTTGCAGTTCGATTTTGAGGTCCTGATAGCGGCTGAGTTTTTCCTGTTGTTTTTCCTCAATGCGACTGTCACTGGTATGGCGACATCAGTAATCCAGACTTTTTTCTTTTCCACAATCGTGATGTCTGGCATGTTGTGTTCCAAAACTTTGTCAGTCTGGATTCGAAAGTCCCACAGTATTTTTGCATGTTCATTTTCCATGACCTTTGCGGATTTATGATCCCACCAATTCTTTGCTGCTGGCAGGTGGTACTTGTGACATAAGTTCCAGTGAATCGTTTGGGCCACAAAGTTGTGTCTTTGTTTGTAGTCCGTCTATGCAATTTTCTTGCAACAGCTGAGGATATGATTGATGGTTTCATCAACTTCTTTGCACAGTCTGCATTTTGGGTCATCGGCTGTTTCCAAATGCCAGCTGAGATCTTTTGGCATTATTATTATTATTATTATTATTATTATTATTATTATTATTATTATGTGTTGTGTGGTTTCTGGGCTGCATGGCCCGGTTCTAGCAGCATTTTGTCCTTATGTTTTGCCTGCATCTGTGGCTGGCATCTTCCTCTGAGATCCTCTGAAGATGCCAATCACAAATGAAGCAAAATGTCGGGAGAAAATGCTGCTAGAACACAGCCATTCAGCTCAGAAACCACAGAACACTCCATCCTGTAGTCGTCACATAGACCTCAGATAAGAATTACCAGGTATGCATTAAATATCTTCAGAGGATGCCTCATCATTAATGCCTCATCAAACTCCAACTCCTAGAATCCCATGGCATTGCACCAAGGTAATTCAAGTGGTTTTAACCTTCACTGATTTGTAGAGGTGCCCTTAGTAAAACAGGGATAGGCTGCAGAAAGACTACTAAGGGTGCCTGCTACAGGGATAGAATTAAAGGAGATTGATACCACTTGAACTGCCCTGACTCAGTGTCTGTGGGATCCTGGGAATTGTAGTTTAGTGAGGCATCAGCTCTCTTTGCAGGGAAGACTAAAGATCTTGTGTGCAACGAGTCTATGTTATAATTTCAATATAACCATAGAGAGTAAATGCATGCTTAATTGACATTAGAATGAACTAATAATTTTGCATTATTTTGCCTGTTACAAAATGCTGTTATCTATGTTTGTACTCAGAGTGACTATCTTTAAAATGTCTTCTGTGAGAAAGCAATCGTTCAAGGGGATGACTCAAAAATGTTTCCTTTTGTCTTTATTCTAATCTTGTGCAATAGCAATAGATAAGCTCCTTCTTCCTTAACCATTCAAATTTGTTCTGAGAATTTTTATTGCTTTGAGGCAATGTGTTTAGGTTTCAGTAACATTCGTAAACCATCAGTTTACATTAATGTAAATTTATTAGTTCATTCTAATGTCAATTAGGCATGCTTTTACTCTCTATGGTTATATTGAACTTATAACATGGATTCTTTTTTTATAAAGTGATTAGTCAAAACATTTTTTCTTTTTTTCATCATTATTGCCTTTTTTTGTATGTCACCTTCCACAATAAAAGTGTCTCAAAATTTAAAGTCCGAAAAAGAGAAAGGAGCGAATATAAATTTAGGCTCATTTTAAAGAGAAACAGCAAGCTGCTGTTATGTGCCTTCAAGTCATTTCCGACTTAAGATGACCCTAAAACAAACTTATCATGGGTTTTCCTGGGGTTGAGAGTATGTGCCTCACCCAGTGGGTTTTATTTAATTGAATTTATTGGCTTTCATGGCTTGAATCACTGGGTTTGAAGCCGATAGGAGCTTTGGAGGGGTCTCCCCGGGAGGAGGGACCTTGAGATCGCACCAAAGAGGGTCCGCTACTTTGGCGAGCCAGAGAAAGCCTGATTCCAGCAATTTTATTTAGATTAAAATTCAAAATAAAGCTCACCGAAGTTGAAGAAGAAGCACTGAGGTGGTTTTATTTGCGATTCAGCTGAAAAGGATGCAATGTAGCAATAATTCGCCTACAAAGCATCCCAGTACAGAGATCAGAGGCATTTTTATAGGAGTCTGTAGGTTTGAAAGTTCAAAACTCCCGCCCTCTTCCCGGCTCGCAGGTGATTGGCTGATGAGATTCCAGCTGGGAAGAGGCGCAGCTGGCCTCTCTGCGTCAGGGCCAATCACGGAGCTCCCCCGCTTCACAGGGGCCAATGGGAGAACTTTCCCCGCTTCAGCACCTTGGCGAATCAGAAGGAGGGAGGCTGGACGAAACAGAAACAATGAATCAGTGAATGAATCAATGGGCGTGATGCCCAGCCTATTGTCCTTGAGGGGATTTGCGATGATCCTTGATTACTTTTATCCTGGTCTTCCTGCCACCTTCAGATAAGGCACAAAAGGGTGGCTTGGGGAAATGTCTGGTTTTTGAATGGAATAAGCAAAACTGGGAAGGCGACTCCCCCCCCCCCCCCCCCCCCCCCCCGCCCCCCGAGGGTCATCTCGCTCCTATTGTGAAGATGGCCAAAGGTTTGCCAAGGGCATTCAAGCCTGATGGCCTCCATCCTGGAACCACATGGGGATTCCAGGTCTTATTGTCCGTGCCAGAGTTCTGGGATGTGAGTTTCTTTGTTGCCTCTGATTGCCCTTCCAACAGCTGGCCGCTTTCTTGATGTGCCTCCCCCATTATGAAGGGGCGAGGGGTTGGGTGCAAAGGAAAAATACTTGGGAAAAGAAACAAGAATCCAGAGGAATTCATATCAACCTCCCCTCCCTCCCCCCACCCGCCAGAGAAATTGATTAATATAACTTTATTAAGACATAAGTCCATGGATCATGTGGGGCAATTCATATGTAGGGAATGTGTTCATAGGAGCAAGAAAAAGGGGATTGAAGAAAGTCAAAAAGTCT